TAAAACTGTCCAATAACCTTTGACACAATTTTCTTCTTTTTTCAAATATTATGTCAGAACACAAGCAAACAGAAGAAATAACCATTTAAATAATTAATGGTCCAGCTCTTCAATTCATCACTTACAGAAGAACAGTCTCAGTGGCATCAGCAGGACTGTTTACATCCTGATATTTGGCTAGCCATGAACAAGAAGTAGGCAGTCAGCATGCAGATGGGAGAATCCTTGGAAACCTCTCCTTAATCATCTTCCCGCAGCACCAGTGCAGAATCCCAAAATGTACTCAGAGTAAATCTCACTGAGCTTCAAAGAGATGTAAGTCTCCACAAGTGTTTTACCAAGGAGTTGGAGAGGACTGTCACTACTGATCATGTGAGCTCTTAAACTGCTCAGGTCACCATGATGAAGTTTCTAGATAGTCCATGCATATCTCCAACCTTTAGATTCATTACCAAATAACCACTTAGTTAAGTTTTGTTTGTTAAGATTAAGCACCTTAATGAAGACACTTCTGAATACTTGCAGTCAGAATTTGGTTAGTAATTATCCATGAGTACAGCGTTCATTTCTCACTTGTATTTTGGCATGACTTTCATAAGGCATTAGGAGCCCCATTAATATTACCCCTCCATACTGGTTCTTGATAAGCAGCTTTAAAAAAAAAAACCTAACACTATTGAAGCTCTCAAGAACTGTGAAATAATATAGGGAAGCTTTAATGCTGTCCTTTATGTGAGATACTTTACACAAATGCAACCAGTGAAATATTCAAAAAGTATCTAAATTTCAGCTTCAGAGGGTAAGGTCTTTAACATCTGCAGCAATATTCTTCTTTCTATGTACATAAATGGATTACTACACAGACATTTTTCTCCCACTATTTCTTGAATATCACTGGCACATGAGGTCACTGTGCCTTGAGAAACTGAACTGATACCAGTATCCTATGTGGATGGTACAATAATTTGACCTAAGGCCTCTCTTTAATTTATTGAAGATGCAGTATCTTTTGACAAAACTAGTCCTACAGCAATAGCCACACATCTGTACTGCCAGGTATGACCTTTCCCTGCATATGGTGGCCAAACCACTACACTCCTCCACCATTTTTCCTGCACAGAATAATCACTGTTGTCTGTCAGACAACAGTTAATCTTTTTGGTCAGTAAAAAGACTCACTGAAAGGCTATTTCTGAAGAGCAGAATGGCATAATCTAAGCTGCATATCAGCCCACATTTGACTTTCCAAAGTGCATGCAGCTTACTAAACCTAACCCAAGGTCTGCAAGGCTTTGAAATGAGAGTGCATCTAAGACACTCGTATTTTCTCTGAAATGTCTTTATATTTAAAATGAAAAAATAAATTTTAATTCCAGTAACTAAAATAAAATATTTCTGGGGACAAGTTTCAATGTTATTTTACATGTTAAAAAAAGAAAATGTAGTTTGAAATACAGCTTGCCTCTATTTGCAGGTTCAGGCCTAGATGAAACATGGTGGAATATCCAACGCATGTTAGGATGTTTTTTCAATACTCTTGGAAACTCAGCAACTTACATATGTAATAGAGCCCAAGCAATGACTGAATAAAGAATGACAAATAGCTTAGGATTTGTTATGACAACTTTGACATAATAGCACTGTGCAATTTTTTTTAACTAAGCCTGACACAGCAACACTCTCAGGAAGAACAGCTGCTTAACTATTTCACCACAAACAGGACAGTGCAGTTGAGGATCATGACAACACCAGTCAACATTAGCAACAGTTGACAATTTTATTTGAGATACACAGAACACTTTATGTTTCGGCTGCAGTTTTCTAGATGGAGAGCATGATTTGGGCACATGCACACTTAGATGGCCAAAGGCTTTGGAATAAGCTGGTACTCCGAGTAAAGTCTAACAGTATCAATAATTACTAATAGGGCTCTCTAAAACCTGGGATCTATCCAAAAAGTGAATCAATTTATATAATAAATCAGAGGTGTAACAGACATGCAATGATGTACATGGCTTTTGAATAGACACAATAAAAAGGTGATAATTATTTCTACCAATTTCTTTACAAAGATTTTCTCACCTAATTTTACCCAAACACAATGTAGAAGGAAGCAAAACTCTCAAAATAAGAAGGAGCATAGAAGTCAAATGCTTTTCATGAACACAAAACTCTTTTACCCAATTGTTTTCAAACCACCATCAATTGACTTTCAATATTTTTCTCCACAATTAATTCTACTACTTTGCTTCGGAAAATCTGACAAAATATCAATAATTAGATGCCAACCACTTAGAGTTGTGTGAAACTTGGCAGTTTCACTTTGCAGGAGTGCAGGCAAATATTTTATTTGGTGTCAATCCACCATTTTCAGTTTGTGTTGATTTTTGAATAAGTTCAAATAGGCAAATGAATAAGCAGTCAAAATTTCCATATTTTACCTGGTTTCTCTTCATGGCCATACAAATAAAAAGGCATATCTTCATGAATCAGCAATGGAGAAAGTCAGATGTTTAAATTCAGAAAGAAATACAAGGAAAAATCTATCATGCAGTTATGGTGATCTACAACCAAATCCCAGAATTATGGAGGATATTAACCCTCCCCAGCAGCACTACTTTTCTATTCTAAATTCTGTTAAGTGCTCCAAGAATGTGCATTTATTATGCTACATAAAGGCCCCAAATGATAGTAGCCCCAAAATAATAGTAGCAATAATTAGGGTTTTTTAAGGTCCTGCCAGCATTCTATACCATCACAGGTAAACTTTTTTCTTTCTACACTTTCCACCCACCTGCAAGTACCTTAGGATGACTGCTCTTTGGATCATCACTGCTGTTGTCAGTGCACCCAATTCTGCTCTCTATCCAGCAAAACTCATGATTGATGCAACAGAAATAATAGCAGGGGGGAGCTTGTTTTAAATAAGTGAGTATGCCACAGAAGTAATAACAATTGAAAAGGTCTGACTGTATTAAGGTTTCTGCTGAGAACTTACTCATTGCATTCTTCTGTGAAGGAGTTAAAAGGACAGAAGTCCCAAATTCAAGTAACTACAGGTACCACATGTGAGAAGCTGTGAGGTAGAGAAAAAAGGCCAAAGAGGTGAAAGTAAAGGAGTAATGAAAAGGAGAAAGGAGACACTGGTAAAATACTGCTAGAAATAAAAAAGACAGAACAGTTTGAAAACTGAGCTGCAGAAGGAAGATAATTCAAATGAGGGAAATAACTTTAGAATACAGGATGAGAATGAAGAACAAATAGATTACAGATGGACTACAGGAGAGATGATGAGACAGAGAAAATAAAGGAGACAGAGCATGGAGGTATCTAATTACAGAACTCATTGAAGGCAAGATAAAATTACACATGGAGATGAGAAAAGTTTAAGAAATGGAAATCCAGAACCAGAAAGGTACCTATCTGGAAACAGGATAAATAATATCACCATTGTACAGGCTAAAGGCAGAATTAGGAATTGAGAAATGTTATGAGAAGTGTATGAATAGGAAAACTGTTAAAAAATTAAGTTAGGTACAGAGGTTAGGACCCAAGATGCTACCCAGAAAGAAAGAAGACCTTAGGAAAGGAATGCGAATGAAAAGAAATAGATGAAGCAGGGACTTGGATGCAGGCCTAGGTGCATGCAAGGTCATCTTACCAGTCCACCACAGGTACTGAAGGAGGCGAAGGAGCCCGGGTAGCGGAGGACAGCACCACTGTAGTAACAAGCTCTCTCAGGTTGCAACTGTGTGGCACTGGGTGGAGTTTTGCCCTCACCCCCAAGCCGCTCTTCCACAGCAAAGCCAGGAGCCAGGAAGCGGCTGTCCCTCTTGAGCAGCAGGTATAGTTCCCGAGCAAAAGCTGGGATCCTCAGCAGCACTTCATCTCCATCCTCTGCTGAAGGTGGTGGTGGGGGGGATGGTGGTGGTGGCAACTGAGAGGCAGCACCAGACCCCTGGGGCAGGGGGGACCAGTGGTAAAACTCCTGAGACTCATACTCATCCTCAGTGTCCTCTTCCTCTGCTGCCTCCCCTACAGCCTGTGCCTGCCCATCCACCGAGGAGGAGACTGAACGCACCTCTCGGGAGCTGCCAGCTGCTGGGCTGGGTGTGACTGGGCCACTGAAAGTGCTGCTTCGGTTCCCACTACTGGGATCAACGTTGCAACCCCCACCACCACCACTGCCACCCGTTGGCTCCTGCTGGCCCGGGCTCCACAGTGCAGGGAAGACGATCTCCCACTCCTCAGTCTCTTCTGAAGCATGGAGACCTGTGAGAAATGCAACAGATGCTTTAAATGAGTGAAGCACTGAACAGCATCCAGTGCCTGCTAAAAACCTTCACCTTTGCCCACCATAAGGTGGTCCTTCTAAGTCCAAGACCAACAAGCATGCCAGATAACATATAGTGGGGTTCATTTGCTCCTTGCATCTCGTCCTTATGCAGAGCAGGGGGGCCAGCTGTTGGATGGGTCTGTTCTGTTGATGCATCTGGAACACACAAGGTTCTGCAGAACATAGAGAAAGCTGGACCTCAAACTGGGCAGAAGCTGTGTTTGTACCAGTAGCTGGGGATGTCTTTCCTTTTGATCACCACCTCCATGCAAGGAAAGTTGCATAAACCCTTCATCATTTAGAGAAAGCAACAACTGTTTCATATAGCTAAAATAAAATTGCTGGGGAAAACCTGAACAAATTTGAAAATTTCAGCCTTCTCAGCCTGCTGTGCAAGACCCATTATGCCTCCCAAAGTTTGACCAAATACACACATACACACACACCATGGCTGCACATACAAGTAGCAGTTGCATGCACATGCTCTATGATGATCATTCTTATAACGAAACCGAATGAGAATCACTGACTACTGATACTTGCATATCCCAAACACTCTACATCACAATACAACCAAAGTCCAGCATGCCAGCATTATGTTTGCAAAGATCTGAGTACACACAACCTACACTAACCTGAGACAGGAAACAGTTTTATTTACACATTCATCGCACACTCTAGGAACAGCACAGCCAGGAGAGATGACAGGGCTGCTTGTGGAAATCAGGTCTCGTACAGAGCAGCGCTGCGCAGTGCACTCTCACAGCCAAGGCGCACACTATCTGATCACCCATCGCTTATGGGGGGGCGGGCGCGGTTAACAATGGCCAGGTACCGCAACCGGCAGCCGCGGGGCGCGGAGGCCGCCCCGGGCTCGGCCCGTCCCGCGAAAGGCGCGCACTTACCTGCGCCGAGCCCGCTTGACAGCACGCACAGCTGGTAGAACACGCAGCAGACGCGGCTCAGGCGCATCCTTCCTCCCAGCGCCATCGGCTCCGCGCCCGCGGGACGCCCGCTGGCAAGACACGCAGGGCCGTGCTGAGTCGTGCCGGGCCGAGCGGGGAGTGCCGTGGGGCGCAGCCACCTGGGCGCCCGCGGAGAAACTCGGGAGAGCGCGAGCGGCGCGTCCCGGCGGGGCGGGCAGGCAGCACCGGCGGCGCGGGATGCGCAGCGCACGGCGGCCGGGCGCGTGTGTGTGCGTGTGTGTGCGTGTCTCTGTCCGTCTGTCCGTCTGCGTGTGCGTGTCCGTGTGTGTGCGCGTCTGCGTGTGCGTGGGCGCGGGCAGGCAGCAGGAGCGCGGCCCGTGCGCGCACACAGCGCCCGGCGGCGGGCGGGCAGCTGCGCCCCGGCGGCAGCGACCGCGCTGCCCCCGCCCGCCGCTCGCCCCCACGGGGCGGGACGCGCCGGGCCCCGTCCCGTCCGGCCCCGCCCCGCCCCGCCCGGGCGGGCACCCGCCGCGGCCCCCCTTCCCTCGCCCCGCCGCAGCCCCGCCGCCGGGCCGCGGGCAGGAGCCCGGGCGGGTCCGCGGGCGGCCGAGCCCCGGCCGCGGTGCCGGAGACAGCGCTCCGCAGCCTGCCGCCCCTCCCGTCTGCGAGGGGCGCGCACCGGTGCGCCCCGGCTGCGGGAAGGGCTCCCCTCATCCCCGTCGCCAGCAAGGCGCTCAGGGGAGCCTTCGCCTAAATTCAGGGAGCAGCAGACACTGACTGCTTTTGCCTAGTTTTGTGTAATTTGATTCTAAACTCCTTTTGCCCCCACCACGCAGCTCTCCATGGAAACCCATCACTTTCCACCCCGGCCCTTGTCAGCAGAGGAACGAGTAAATGAGGAGCTGAGCAAAAAGCTTTAGCTGCACATCTAGCATCAGCATGAACTGCAAAAGCGACAGGTAAACACGTCCCTCTAAAAGTCGGTTTTTGTCATAACTTCTGCTGCTTAACCTACTGTTCTTAATGTCAAAGGTGATTGTTGTGCCTTAGGGGAAGGCAGAGCAATCCAGTGCGGTGAGGAAAGCCATCTGTGTCGTTAAGGGGAAGCAAAGAAGTTGCAAGAATTCTTTCTAGAAGTTAGTTGTGTAAAATGAAAAGCAAAACATACAAACAAACAAAAATCACGTGTTACAGCTCCAAATAAAAAACACGTTTAGACTCCACAGAAGCCAAATGCAGCTGGCTTTTGCTCTCTGCTCTGCTCGATAGCTGCTTGAAACGTATGCTGCATGGATAGGTATTCTCAGCTGGCTCCAAGTAGTATTTTTTTATTAGTTATTTCATTTTATAGGGGGAAAAGGTTATCACACGCTGGTCTTTTTGTCTTTTTCTTTTTTTTTTTTTTTTTCCATTTCAGCCAACTAACACTGAGCAAAATCAGAGGGACTCAGTGAAAACAAGATTAATTGATTAGGAAGAGGGGAGCTTTTCAGGGCTGTAAACTGGTATTTGCCTGATAATTAAGTGACCTTAAAATGCATTTCAATGGAAGTTTTGTTTTCCAAATAAATAAAACATATGTACTAATTTACAGTGGAATTAGTTAATAGGCCAAATCCTGCAGCCTTTTCATAGCCACAACTATCCTTACAACTGATCAGGAAATGCTACAAATGCGGTTTATAAGCTTCTGTGAAAGTATTAGAAACAAATTCTGGTTTTATTTTTTTTATAAGAAATCAGAATGTACAGGCAAGATGCAAAAATGCATAGAGAGGACCTTTGCTCTGCATTCAGTTACATCACAAAATACATTAATACATAACAAGGGGGAATAAGGTAAAAAATATATGGCATGTGAATGTGCTTTCTTTAAAACTGAGTTGCTGTGACTGTTTCCAATCTGCTAAAGTTGTTGATCCCTTTGGACAAGATTCTGCTTCTCTTGTTCACATGTATAATCTTACTAAAAAGACACAAAACACTGGTTTTGACAATAATGTAAGGAGAATTTGGCCTTTTCAACACAAACTGCAAAAGATAAAGACATTTTAAAAAATGCCAGTTGAGAAAGACTTTCATGTGTTTGACTTCATCACCAGCCAAAGAAAAAAGTACATTTTCAATAATTCTCCACATATGAATACAGGGCAAGCTAAAATCAACATGGAGCTGCAACAAATTTCTTTAGTTCATTTTATGTTTTGTTTTTATCGTTTCAATAGTTAAAGTAAAGATATAGGGGGAAGTTCTCTATGTTTACGTTTGGGGAAAGTGCACTATAAAATAGAGCCCCTACTGGTGTTCATTAGTTTTAACAGAGAGTCTGGTCATAGGTTAATGCTGGTAGATGATATTGTAGCCCACCACATGCTAACTGTAGTCATTGTGAGACTAGTGCAGGGAAACCTGTCTCAAAGAGAGTTAGAATTAAGGGAACAAAACAATTATTGCATACCACAGTCAGTTTGCAGAGAGAATAATATTGTATCCGTGTGTACTCTACAAAACACTATTTTCTAAGTCAGAAAGCCATTCCAACTCTGCAAAATAGTTTTTACTTTACCAAAGATGTGGTACAGGAGGTGTTATTAACTATGCATTTGTAAAATTGGAAGAAATAGTATCTTCAAACTTGGTACAAAAGGAAATGCAAAGAAAAATTGTCTGCTCCACTAAATTCTTAAAACTGAATCACCCATCTGAAAGGTCGAAGCCTTTTGGCATTTCACGAGATTTGTGCAGAATCGCAAATGTAAAGCATGTGTTAATTTGTAAAATACAACAATTATTCAGAACCATCTCACTGATATGAGAAAAAAAATCCACAGAAAATTAAGTAAAGAATATGTCCTTGTCAGTCCTTCCTGACTGGGATTAATCAACCCAATTTTGTTGAAATCAATATAAATTTGGCAATTTCCTTTTGTTTAGTTCTCCCTGATGTTAAATTTACGAAACTGTACCATCACTCCCTTAAGGACTGTCAGATCAAGGATTCTGCCAGTCCCCTCCACAGGCTGACTTTCCATTTCTTCAGTATGCCAAGATCATTCATGATCACTGATAATACAATATAGACATCTCAAGCCATCTTTTGAAGATATCAGTATGATTCTTCAACTTTCACACCCTTCACTCCATAGTTTTATCTAAATCTGTGCTGCAGTTTCTGTCTTACCTTTCAAAAGCAAGGGCCCAATCTCTGTTTCCCCTGGACCCTCATTTCATTTACTGTCTGTTAGGAGTGATTTATTTCTGAGGATTAAGGTAAGTATTGACAGATCATTCTATAGAATTCAAAATATCAGCTTCTAGCAATATAAACACTACCACCAGTCAGAGACTTTCATTGGTTTGTTTTTTCTCCTTACTTACTTAACCATTTAACTGTAAAAGCTCACACAAATTTATGCATAAGAAAGGGTTTTAAGATTACCTGAACTTTTCATTATATACAAGATTTCCTCCAGTAATTGTTGCCAAAAATCCACAAACCTTTAATCCTCTTCACAAGGATATAGTTATTAATTATTTTTGCATATGGTTTATATGTAACTATTGAACTAGGATACCACTGATTTTTTAAAAATCCTTAAGCATATTTGTTTCAGATTTTTACAACTTAAGAAGATTTTCTGGATGGATGGAAGAAATCAATTCTGATTTGAATGGTGCTTACTACATTAAGGCCACATATCATATGTCCACTGAGATTAGAAACAGAAACTCACATCTTCCTGTTTCTGGGGTGTTTTACAAATGTTATCTCAGTCTAAATAAACTTGTTTCAAAGAAGATTGTACAAAATGTCTTCTGATGCAAAAGATACATGGGAACCAATGCTGCAAATTTTCTCTACCTAAGCATGAATGAAAAGAAGTTTTTTCCCTTTTAGAAAATGCTGTATTCCCTGTCTCTTCAACTGAACAGTGAATTTCCACTGTCCACTAACTCACAAACTGAAAATTTAGTCTGTAATTCTATACCTTTATTTACAAGCTCAACATGAAGGTTTATTTAAAAGGCATGTATTTAAGATCGCTTCAAAAAACTTCTTTTGCAGCTCTTACTGCAGAGCAGATCTTACAGTTACATCTGAACTCAGTAGTACAATCAGATGATCTGCTGAGTAAGATATGTGTCAAACTGGTGTGAGCTTAATACCTCCACTTTAAAGTGCATCGACTTTGAAAGGGCAAATTAAGCCCATAGCAACTCAATGTCACTATGCCACACCACTACTTCTTATGATTCAGTTGAATTTAGTAAATTCAATTGAAGCAATATTTACTCCCAAGTTGTTGCCTTGTGAGTTACTTCTCAAAGTCATATTGATCAATTTGGGGATAGTAGTAGCTAAAAATATGTTGTCAACACAATATTCACCCTATTTATTTAGAATGCTTCACCAAGTCACCACTTAATTAGAATAGTCTTTCAAAACTCTTTTATTACATCCTTTTAATTTAGTGATTTCTTAAAAAAAACCAAAAGATGCTTGGCAATTGTTTACATTTTGACAGAAAGCTGTACAATGGCAGGTAGTAAAGTACTCTACTCAAGCTGAAACCACTTTAAAGACAGCCAGGCACTCTGTGTGAACCTGAGTTCCACACAGCTTTCCAAGCTTAAGTTTTCTCTCAAAGTGGAGCTTCTTCAGATTCCTTAACTGAATCATCTAACAGGCAGATATGTCACCCGATCAATTATGGCAAACAGGCTACTTCAGAATGATCAACAAATAGTTCCCATTTTTTGGAACATCTTAAAGGGGCAAGGCTTCAAATTTGAAACCCGCAACTCATCTCTTGGAGAAAAAAAAATTCTTTTCTAAGAATCACAGCATCATTTAGGTTGAAAAAGACCTCTGAGATCATCAAACCTTTGCCTTTAGAGAGTATAGAAAAGATGCTATAACAGAGGTTATTTATGGAGAATAATTCACATTGTTGATTAACATTGTATGGTTCTTCTTGACAATTTTAAAATAATACAGTAATCCTTTTTTAGAATGCATCTACAAACTAAAAACAGTTTGGAACTGTAGCATAATTTATAAATGTATATGAGCATATGGAAATGGTAACTACTGAAAAAAAGTAATTATGGAATATACTCTTAAAAAAGGCTTAATGGACACAAATTTTCAGAGTGGAGGCAAGTCTTTCCCCAAAACAAAGATTATGAAACTTAGCTCCTCTTCCAAACTGTAGGAATAGTTTAGAAGAACAAAGAAATTTTTCATCCATCATTAAAAGTGGTGAAAACGGTTCCTGTAGGAAAATTATGTCATTTGTAGCATTAGTATTAAAAAAAACAACACAAAGCACCTAAAACTTCTTCTAATTCATATCAGAAGCAAAATCAGAAAATTTGACAAGGTGACTTAATGATCTCTCTGCCCACACATCCCCCTACATTTAAAGGAGGTGGAAACAACAGGCAGAAATACAAATCTTATAAGCAAAAATTTTTTGTAGGAACTGCAAACATCTGAGACTGAGTACAAAACTGAGCATTATAATAAAAGCAGAATTATTGCCAACTACATTAGTTTATTAGTGAATGCTAGGTCTGCTATGTTTAAAGTAGTAAGTTTAAAATATTTGATAAGCCAGTTATCCCAACCCTACTAATGTGTTATATCTGTTAATCAGTTATCCCAACCTCACTGGTCTGTTTCAGAATTTATTCAGGTTTTATTCAGAAAAATGGACCAATCATTTCAAGTGAGTTAAAAATACTGTCCATTGCTTCCATAAAGAATTTAGATGCTAAGTGGTGCTACCATCGTAATCTTTTTACAGGATTTTCTCTTCTGAATAGAAAGATCAAACTCCCTACTTTTTCAGTCAAGGAATTAGTATAACACAGAAGCCTATAAACTTGAAAAATGAATGAAGAATACAGAACTGGGAATGATAATATAAAAGGCACTGCAGGCAAGTATGGTATG